CTTTCGCCCGATCTAGGTGTTCACTTTGCGGACACAATTATATAGCCTCTTCACGTAGCGACGAGGTAACATCCATTAGTGCCTTCGACCAATTTAGAGGATAACTTCGACTTTACCTGAAACAGCTGAATTGGTGATTTACACTTCACCTTGATTCACTACTCGCACTGTATTCTGTTAAAGTGTATTCCATAGACACTTCTGGTCTACACGCTCGCCTGAGATAAAGTGAACGATGGCCGTTCTCTAAGCATCGCAGAACCCTTCAGCTCATCACCCGGGACTCCGTGTCACCATTTTGCCGCGGCCTTGCCGCCTTATTCAGCAGTCGGCCGTTAAGCATGACCGTATAGTCTGCCCAGTGGGTTTCACCGCAAGTGTTACACACATTTATTTGAATGCTCGATCACATGGTGCATATTTAAAATATTGTATTGGACCTTTGTAACAGAATGGTTACAAAACATATTCGACTCGTTCAACGTACTCCCACCTGTGCAGCAATCCGATACGGCGTTCCAACTGGTTGATCTCGGAACAGCATTTAGTGGTCGACCGATAAGAAAATGTGTGAGAGGTTGAGGGTCGTTGGGATCATCGGAGAGTGGAGAAATCGGCCGTGAGTTCATGCAGGCCGCCACTTGTGCGAGAACAGTACTCAATTCCTCAAACGTGAAACGAGCATCACCTCCGAGTTTGCCTAAGAATGCTTTCACCACCTTCACTCCTGCCTCCCAAAGTGCACCGTGGTGTGGTGATCGAGCAGGAATGAACATCCGCTCAATACCCTTGTCGGAGAAGAAGTCTGCTACATCGTCGTCCAGTTCGGTTGCGTTGATTTGTTGGTATAGTTCACGATATTTTCTTGCTGCTCCCCGAAGGTTAGTAGCGTTGTCGGAGTAGATTTTGCTCGGCAATTCATATCGGCTACTAAAGTGGGTGAAAGCAGCAATGAATGCAGAAGTGCTGAGATCGGACTCTGCTTCAATATGCACGGCTCGTGTCGAAAAACAAATAAACAGTGCGATGTAACCCTTGCTAGGTACAGCGCCACGCATTCGTCGATTGATGATGTTGATTGGTACAGCATAGTCAATGCCGGTGATGGAGAAAGGCGGATTCGGTTCCAGACGTTCTGCAGGTAGCTGACCCATCAGCTGACGTAGTGGTACTGGTCTCACACAAAAACATTCGACGCAAGCTCGGCAAATCTTCCGGGCAGCACTCGTTCCGCGAACAATCCAAAAACGTCGTCGCACAGCTTTAAGTAATGACTGTGGACCACAGTGAAGCTACTCGTGGTATGGAGAATGAGTGCAGTGAGAGCTGAGTGACGAGGCAACAAGATAGGATGCTTCGTATCGTAGTTGAAATCCGACAGCTGCAGCCTACCGCCCACCCTGAGGGGATGGTTTTCATCAACAAACGGTTTTCATCCTTGATTTGCGCGCTGTTCAAGATCAGATTGGAGAGGAAGTTATATTCCTCCAACGGTGGAAGACCTTCTACCGACGTTAGGGCATCTTATATCACATTCTTGAACTTTGTTCAATCGATATTACGGGTAAGATCGTACGCGACGTTAACGGATTCCGACGGATTGAACCGACTGGCAACTGAAACTTTGATCGGCAAGTGATGACTACCGTGGGGATCCTGGATTACATTCCACGTGCAATCCAACGATAATGAATTAGAGCAAAGTGTGAGGTCTAATTTACTTCCATTCGAGGATGGACCAGCCATTGTTAAGTATTGTCATATTGAAGTTGTCACAGAGGTCATATATCATAATACAACGGTTGTAATCATACAGTTCCCCCATCCTGTACCATGAAAATTAAAATCTCCCATAATCAACCGAGGATTTGGAAGAACTGAACAGATATCTGAAAGTTGTTTTTGATTAATTGAAACTCGGGGATGAATATACCCTCCCCATGGACATGGAGGTTGACGGTACTGAAACAAAGGGTTATGTTTAATTTCTTTATATTTGCAACGATGATGATTTCCTATAGTGACACATATCACCTTCTTAATGCTTCAGTATACCTCAAACGATTAATTCTTGGTTGTTAATATAACTTCCTTGATGAAATCGGCTGCTTCATGCAGACTGAGCAATTCTAATTATAGTATCAGATTTGATCTGTATACCGAGGAACTGGGAGGGCTTATTCGAAACTTCTCACCAATTAAGTAATGATTTTTGAGTAAATTTTGCATTTAATTATATTAATACTTTATTTTTAGCATACGATACAAAAGTGCTCGTTTTTGCGTAAAATAATCAATATTTATTTTGTAATTACGTTTAAAAGTTTTTTTTTGTGATCTGAAAATTTTCCCAGTTTGGTTAGAAGTTTCGAAGCTAACGCATGTCCGCAGGCCTAATAGAAAGATAGGCAGAAAAAGTGATTTTCGGAGTTTTATTCGTTAGGTGTTGTAGTGGAGATTTGTGTTGTTGGATGCAGGAGGAGATTGGAGGGCGGGTGTTTGACGCATAGAGCCTGTCAATTTCGCTTTCAGAGTGTCGCAGTCAGCGGTTTTATGATTCGTGAGCGCTCGCGATTCGTAGAACCGTTGATTGTGACTGCAAGTGGATTTGGCAGGTTTTGTGAGTCAAACGCTTGCTTTTTGGCCTATTCTTGTGTCTAACATGTGCAGAGTATCATTATAGGGTCTAATGGTTTTGAGATTCCTGGTTGCATGAAATATATTTGTGAGAATATCTTTTTGAGATTTTAGTAGTCACGTTTTGTTTGTAGTTTATATTTTATTTCTTTCATGTAATTATCGTAAATAATAGTTATTCAATAATAGATAGTTCATCCATATATTCGGACTTTGACGCGAAGCGCTGTGGATTATGAGATGCTTGATGACCCTAGAGGGATCGATTTTGCTTACTGAGCAGAAAATCTTGGATTTAATTTCAAGTTCTTCCACAGCACAATAAATCGCCACCATCATTTGTATATTTGATATTGAACATTAACCTTGGAAACTATTTGCATATCAAGCGAAAACGTAGTCCTGTATTGTCGCGAAGCGTTATGGTTCTGAGATGCTCGATGACCCTGGAGGAATCGTTTTTGCTTACTGAGCAGAAAATCATGGGCTTAATCCCAAGCTCTCCGTCATGACTCTTAAAATTCATGATCAACAAACAAAATGAATATGTTCTTTCGATAGCCGGCTATCGATAGATTAAATAAACAACAAATAAACAATACATACTTTTGGTTGCATCGCCAACTTGAGGTGAATCCTAACCGAATACCCTACCCAACCCTCCAACTCCGTAGCACTTAGGAGGGTGTCGCTAAGTCGGTGGCCTCTCGTTAAGTAAGTACTACATCAACATTTCCTTCCCTATCCCTAGTTATGGTAAAGATGGGCGTGGCCGGGAATAGCGACAGTCATGCTTCTGTTACTCTTGTTTAGATTGGAACCAATGTTTACTCCCCAGCATTATTCCTGAAAGTAGTCTAACTGAGAATTTCAGAAGAGACGTGAGTGTCGCTAGTATCCAATCTACGAAGTATATCATAACAACGCTAACGCTAACGCTAACGCTAACAATTATATAGCCTCTTCACGCATTGCTGCCGTGTGAAAAGGGGCTACATAATTTTCGTATCGTACATTAAGAAGGAGTATATAATGAATGTTTATAGCACAAGTTTAAAGCTCTAAGGTTTCGAAGGTTTTAAAATTTGCATCATGTTAAATCCATTCAGATAAATATACAGTATGCCCGATGTAGCAATCATGGCTGAAGGTTCCATTTTTGATTAGTGAAATTTCCATATGCCATTATAGAAACAGAGTGCAGTGAAAATAAATGGCAGAAGTCAAGATCTATTGTTGAATAAGGCATGAAAAAGCGAAGCAATATGTTTGAAGCAATCACCTTCTTGAAAGTCAAATTGGCACATTCCGTACGATCTCTTATTGTAACTTAAACATACAAAATATCATTATCACAACTTATGATGCCATAATACCATAAAATATTTTTTTAAGCAAAATGAATGGAAGTAAGGGTGGTTGAGCATATTTAATATCACTCAATGACGCATGTTTCTAATTTCAAGCGGCACCTTTAATTTTCAGGTAAAAATAATACATAGATCGATTGAATACAGATCCATGTTCCATTAGTCCAGACACATTTCCGAAACCAAATATGCTGAAAGCCTAGATGAATTCACCAGAAGTTGTTGTGCAATCACATCCTGTCGAAATGAATTCCTACTAACGTCCAATCACTTTCCTACTCCACATTTCCTGTGAAGCATTTATCGTAAATAAAAAAATCCGGAATCCCCCGCGTAAGCACCAGTACTCGGATTTCGAGTTTTTACCTCCACGAAGCAAAAACGAAGAAAAAAAAATCAGCAAACCAAAAGCGTAAGTACTTGTAGCAAAGCTCAAAGCTCCATCCGCCGGGGCAAAAAAAAATGCGCGTCGAAAATCGAGCTATGAGCTGAATCCTCAGAAAGAGAGAGAGGACCGAAAGAGCCGACCAGATACTTGAAGCGTGAAATTGTGCCTGATTGGGAAGTGCAAATTCAATTATATTTTAAATAGGTTTTGAATCCAGTTTGAGCTTTATGCCTCGATTCTCGTGAAAAAAGGCCAACCCATCCCCCATTTCCAAGCTGACGACGACGACGACGACGACGACTTTTGGGCGAAAGGCAGCCGGCGCCACGATGATCAGAAGGATGCCCTCTCGCACAAAAGGCACTGGAGACATTCGCATTTTCCCTGGGTTCCGAAATTGAATTTGCTCCTGCTTAGTGCTCACACACTCACACCCACGACGCGACGGTGCCACTGGAGGGTGACATTTTGCGGCGAGGTAAACTTAATTTGAATTTTGGTTTTCCAGAGCCCCGGGGTAGATCGATGGTGGAAATGGGAAATTAATTCTTTTGGTTCATTCAACTGATGATCATTTGATATGTTCAAATTTTATCGACTCTTACCTGCATATCGTTAATCGTCCACGTCAGGTTGGCAGCCGGCTTGGAGTTCAGGGAGGAACAGTTGGCTCGCAGGATATCCCCGGCCCGGTACCGCATTTGCGTTCCTATCATCGATGGCTTATCCACTGGCGGTTCTGTATGTGTTGCCAGGGCGATGAAATCACGTTCGCAGCGGGAGGAATAGAGTTGGTAGAATAGCATGAATTAGATTTTAACGAACTGTTGCTTGTGATGCAGATGATTTCGATTCGAAACAAATAATGTGTGATTTTGGAAAATGTTTTATTAAGGTGTGGTGGTTTTCCTATTTCCATGGGACATTTTAAATCAGTGGCAGGCCCAAAAGTTGTGATCATTGATGGGTCGTTCTTTTGGGACTTTAAAATTACTTTTTATTATAGAAAGATAACGTAAAATCTAGTGGAATTCACAGTTATCCCATCGTAAAAAATATAGTTTAATGCTTTTAATCTTCTAATCAAATTGCAAAATGTCCACACCGTAGAGTCACACTCCGTGTTTTCAGTGAAGATGCACTCGAGAGCGCTCTCAAGTGCACCTTCAGGGAAAACCTAGAGTGTGGCTTTGCGGTGCGGAAATTTTGAATTTTGTTTAGAATGATTAAACAATCTATTTTGAAATGAGTTAACTGCAAATTCAATTGGATTTATCGTAAGCATTCTATATTAAAAAGTAACGAACTGGTTTTGATTGTGATTTATCAGAAAATTTCATCAAAATACAATGTCTGTATGTCTGTGGTGGAAGGCAAGCAAATAATTTCAGCAACCATCCGTAACTAATTATAAGCCCAATAATTAGTCCAACTCTTGCACCACAAAGCAGCATCCTGGATGAACACGAACCACATTAGTAATCAGCAGATCGATTCAGCTGGACGAGTTGCACGGGCATGAATATGAAATTCTGGTTCATCGATAGCGAGTATTTCCAGCCCAAAACGCAAACCGGTTGGACATGAGTGCTTCCGAATAGAATGAAACATTACTCATATGTTTGTTGCTATTAATGGTTGCATTTTTCATTTATATATGTTTTTTTTCTTCACAGTAACTTTTGAAAAGGGTGTATTAAAAAAAATTGATTACATTTCTTCAAAAAATCATAAGACGAAAACTGTTGATCTGATCAAGATGACATCTGAAAAAAAGTTGTTGGTAATTAAATTATCTTTAAGTACAAAATCCATTGAAATAAAAAAACTTAGCAAATTAATACTAAGAAAACGTAAAACGTCGATTATCTCAAAACAGTTTCCCTTCTAACAAAATAATTTTTTTATTAAGAAAACTGAAAAAATGTTCTAAAACTTGGTAAAAAGTATAGACTGGTAACTTGCTTTAAAAAAAACCCATTTATTTTGTTAATTTTAAAGTTTATGAAATTGCATTATTTATATTAAAATAATAATTTCTTTGAGTTTTGCACATAATTAAAAATATTTTTTTTTATAAAACCATTTTTCCAAAGTCTAGTCGTTTTCAAGTTAAAAATAATTTTTAACATTTTATACCATTTTCAAATGTTTGTCGTGATGTCAAGCAGCAAGATGTGTTTTCCATGATTGTATATTACAAAACAAACAATTCATTCGCAGATATGGTAGCTGTCAGACCCGTTTATATTTAGACGCAGCGGAAGAGAAACAAGTTTATAAGTAAATATTCTTCAATATATCCAAATAATCAACAAACCGCCTAACGTGCCTTTTTTCTGACCTCTATTAGTTGTATACCTGGGTAGAATTGTGTTTAACAGATGCAAAAAATATAAACAGGTAAGCTAATCCCAGGTAACCAAAAGTTACATTCAACGATAAAACTCACTTCCAAGTTCCATAAAGTTCACATAAAGTTCCGACAGAGCCTTCAAGTTCCATAAAGTTCAAATAGAGTTCCTGTAGAGCTTTCAAGTTCCACAAAGTTTAAATAAAGTTCCGACAGAACTTTCTTCCCAAGCAACCAAAAACTCCGCATTCAACGATAAAACCCACTTTCAAGTTCCATAAAGTACATACAAAGTTCCAACACAACATTCTGGCTACTTTAGAAGCTATAGAAAGCACACGAAGAACTTCAAGCTCCAAAAAATTCCGATGCGTACTCCTAGCAACTTGAAGTTCAAAAAAAGTTCCAAAAAGCATCCCTTAGCACTTCTGAGGAACTTCAGGCAAGGCTGAAAACATGACCACAATAAAGTACCGAACAAGTTCCCTGCGGAACTTCTTAGCAACTTTAAAGTATCTTTAAAGTTCCCTGTGGAACTTCTTAGGAACTTGAAAGTTTCTAAAAAGTCCGTCTTAGCCCACATGAAGCAATCCGCACAAGTCTTTATTATTAACAAAATGTAATGATTTAGGGTTTAGCGACTTTGCAGTCAATTTAATTATTTATGAGAAAGTTTGAACATACTGAGAGATAAGCACATATCATCGGTAAGAGACGTGTGTTTGAGAAAATTTGCAAAAAAATCTAAGGGCACCGATGGGATTCGAACCCACAATTCCCATTCAGTACATGGGTGCACGCCGAAGACCTGGATTTAATTCTTCAAACAGCTCCAATACTACTACTAATGCTGATAAATCAATAAAAGGTTTAGGTTTAGAAATAACTTTCATAAAGACTTTACTTTAGAATTAACTTTCATAGAAATACGAACTAAATATAGAATTGGTGTACAGGGCAAAACCTTTTTCTAACTTATTTTCTAAAAGATTTCGTTTAAGTTCCGCCAGAAGCTGCTTGGAATGCTCTTAATTTAAAATCATGGAAAAAAACATCTCGGTGCTGGATATCACGACTAACTTTTGAATATGGTATAAAATGTTGAAAATTATTATTACTATTATTATTAATTCGCATAACGTGAGAATGACTGGATTTAGGAAAAATGTTTTAATGTGCAAATTTATTGAAAATTAGGCGAAAAAGTCTAATCATTATTATTCTACTTAAAATATGCAATTTCATTAGCTTTAAAAATTAACAACATATTAAAAAAAGTCTAATTTTTTTAAGCAAGGTACCAGCCTAAACTCTTTACAAAATTTATAACATTTCTTCCGTTTTCTTGATAAAAAAAATTTAAAGATTGATGGGGGTTGCTTTCAGATAATCAACGTTTTACGTTTTTTTTTTAATTAATTTAGAAAGTTTTTTTTTATAGTTTTTTTTCCTTAATGATAATGTAACTACCTACATTGTTTTCATATATCATTTTGATGAGATCAATAGTTTGCATGTTACGATTTTTTGAAAAAAAATATAATATTTTTTGGAGTTGGTTGGAAATGCTACCATGAAGCTTTAGTGTGATGATTTATTAGCTAGAGAATGATTTTTAGAAGAAGGTAGGTGGATAGTTCTCTCGGGAGTAGCGGGAGTAGCCGTCAACAATGCTGATGATGGTACAGCACGCAACAACCACCCTACTGCTTTCTCTCTGAGATGATCACGTTGGTCATGACGAGAGGAGCAACACAATAGTTGGGTAAAGAAGAACTGCATTATAACACACCATCGACTGGAAATGCTCTCGCAACGTGGGGCTTTAGGTAGTGATGAAAACGTCGCTAGAACTATTCCACAGCCGCAGTCAGTTTATGAGCAATAAGAGGGACGCACATTTTTGCCTGTGGACTTGGAGACATACTTCAAGTCCCCGCGTACATCGTACGGGTTAGGCAAAAATGTGCGTCTATCTTGAAAACCTGTCGCATTAATGGCCCTTCGCTCATTTTCAACTTCTATTCAATTTTCATACTGCCGTACTCTAACGGAACTATCCACCTACCCTCTTCTAAAGATCATTCTCTAGCTAATAAATCATCACACTAAAGCTTCATGTTAGCATTTCCAACCAACTCTGAAAATCGTTAACTTCGCGTATGAAGTAACATACATAAAAACACTTTGAATATAATATTTTTTCATTAATACGCCCTTTTCTATGAGTCAGTGAGTAGAAAAAAAATCACACTTAGATGAAAAATGCAACCATTGATAGCAGCAAACATGTGAGCAAAATGTCATTCAAATTGGAAGGGGTCGAGACAAAATTGACATATTTTTTAACGTTTTGGGCTGGAAATGCTCTAGTGCCATCGTGGTTTTCGCTGTACGTCAATGATACTCACTCACTCGAGGTGAGCCATTGAGTATGCTATTTCAGAAGTTTGAAACACCGCAGTCTACCATTGGGGGGAAATTTATGATTTGCCGTTCGGCCGACACACGGGCCTCTGTCAGTATGATTTGTGACGCTTTAATTAGTATTCTGGCAGAAATTCTATGGAACTCAGCAGTCTCTCTCATTTCTGATCATATAAAATGTACGGTCATCAACGGCTAAAGCCTAGGCTAAAGCAATGCCTTGTAAATCGCGAATACAGATCTGCATAGTTTTCACGCCAACTGACGAAACTATCAGACGTGACCTTCTCCGATTATCATGACAGTTTTCTTTGTAACTTGGTAACTTTGTCAAGCAGTTCTGGCGTGACTTTCTACCAGCGATTTCTCAAAACTGCATCAATGCATTACTATTTGCTTATGGCACGAAATATGGCTACTTTTCTAGTGATTAAAAAATCTCAAATCACTCAGAGTTTGGAGGAAATGCTATACCAACATGGAGCTTTAGTACGATAATTTGTTAGCTAGAGCCAGTTCTGAAGATACTACCCAAGTAACAATCTAAATGCTTGGAAGATTTATTCCTATTTTAGCATTGTTTTATCATAGCATCCCTTCCAGCCTGTGGTTGTATTACGGTTTTGTGTGCTTGTCATAAAATCAGGCCGTCAAGTCGTCTATAAAACTGTTTTATGACTACTAAATTAAAACTCAGACTTCATAGTTTTAACGGTAGCTGTAAGGTGGTTCTGCATCACTACTTATAACTGAAGAATAAAACCAAAACAAAACATACAATTATGTTTTATGGTACACTTTTTATGACCGATATAAAACTTGAAGCAGTCTTAGACCTTCATTAAAGCTTCATTACAACTATCATCTTTATCAGAGGCCTAAGATTCACAGATAAGAAATATACTGCTACAACAAAAAATACTCTGAAATTTTTTATCATTATAAAAAACAAATCTATT